TAAACTTACTATTTGGTATTAAAGTGTCACTTTCACTATTTTTGGACTACCCCAAGTATTATAACAAACGCATCTTTTACAAGTACAGATTACAGCAAATATCAATTTTCTTTCAAAGAATTTGATTATTGTTCTATTGAGACAAGTATGAATTTCTATTTCTATCGATATCTATACTTATTCAATTATTTAATAGATTGATAAAAATTCCCTTTCCAACTAAATAATAAAGATAAAATAGAATAACTTCATTATAAATATCGACAATCATAAGATAAGTGTTTCCTTCGATTTTCATATGGAATAAAAACGGATAAAGAATATTCTAGTAGAAACTCTACGTTAGAATTTTATATAAAAATAGATAGTTTGATATGATATGTTGAATACAATTTTTCTTAAATCGACATAAAAATCTCTAATAATATTTTATTAGCATAAACAATACTTATTGGTAGTTAGTATTGTTGTACATTTACTGTCTATTGCATAATTTATTAATTATCATATTTTAATCTATAAAACATTATTATAAAATCAATATTCATTATAGACCGGAATAGAGTGTGAATGTGCCTTTTCGAATCTAGTAGATTTTGTATCAGAATAAGATTTTTTTATACAATTTATAATAGTGAATAAGAGTGTATAGAATGTCGTACACGTCAAAATTCATACTTCAATCGAACTCAATTTCAAACCTTTAATATTTGCACATATGACATCGTATAGACTCTTATAGAGGCTAAAGACTATACGAATCTCATTCTAATAAAAATAAGATAATAGTTCAAAATTAGCATCAACTTCTATTTTCTTCAACACGAGAAAATTTTCGATAACAATGAACTCTTTTGAATAATTTTGATTGAATCTGAATCTTTTGAATGCAGCATATGTCACTAGGATTTTATAAAACGCTCTCAATTTTAAATAGTTTAATAAAAACCAAATGAAATTTGTAATATGAATAAAAACATTTATGAATATTAATCTATGCGAAAATTTAAGGATAATCGCAAAATTAAAACAAGAGTAAATATTTCAACTGTAAATAATTGAGTAAGTATAGATACCGATAGAAATAGAAATTCATACATGTCTCAATAGAACAATAATCAAATTCTTTGAAAGAAAATTTATATTTGCTGTAAATCTGAACTTGTAAAAGATGCGTTTGTTATAATACTTGGAGCAGTTCAAAAATAGTGAGAGTGACACTTTAATACCAAATAGTATATTTAAGAAACCTTTCTTTCTATATGGAGTGATAGAAAAAACGATGATCTATCTTTCTGTGCTTTATGATCATTCTTCACCTAATATCATAATAATAAAATTCCTATGAAATTTGTTTAGCTATGATATGTAAGGATAAAATTACTCATATTGTCTTCTATGTGCACTCTCGTCTTGATCTTCTCTTTGTTCTTTTCCTCCCTTTTCTTTAGTCTTTTTCTCTTGTCTCTTTTAATGCTAACTCTTCACATATATAAAAGTATACAAAAGAAGGGACAATAGAATAAAAAAAAAATACAAAAACAAATTCAACAAATTTTTATCTTATCAAATGTTCAAAATATTCGCCTCCGTTATCCACAGACAATTGCATTCGTTGAATTTATTTATCAAAGGTTTTCTTATATTCTTCTTTATTCAAAGAATTCATGAAGTTGGTTACAGTACGATGTAATGATTCAAAATCGTTTTGATTGCTCAGATTTTGCTTAATCAGTTCGAATAACCAAAACTCACATAGTGCATGATCCGGAGAATTAGGCAGATGAGATATTATTGTGATACCATCTGATTTAAGATAATTGCTCACTTCTTGATGAAAATGTGGTGTGGGATGGGCTCAGTTCACGCTGACGAAAAATTCTGGCGCCGCTACTACTAACACTCACGCCCCCCATTAAAATTAGGTTCATAAGTTGAATAGTTGAATTTCATTTTGAGATAATTAATTTCAAAAGAGACGATTCAAGTACGTTTAAAGATTATTTTAAATTATTGAAAATTTATAAGGGAAAAAATCTATATTCTAATCAAGTTAGTTATTTATTGATCTAACCTTTTTTAAATTCTTTTCATCGTCGTTATCACTATTTAACAGATTTTTCTTTATTCTATTGAATTCTTAGTCGTATTGTTTATAAGTTAAATTAATTTCTTTTTTCAGTATTTCAACATTTTCAATCATGGGTTTTTGCCATTGATTTAATTATTGAAATAATTCAGAACGATTATCATTAAATTGAAGTGTTTTCAAACATGTTCGACAATTTTCAATAGCAGATATCAAATATTTATGTTCATTATCAATAGATATTTGATATTCAACAAGATGTCATAAACAAAATATTAATGGACAATGAGCACATTAAACACTACTAGCAGGTTTAACACAATGTACATGAAAACAAATTGATGCTGTTGATGGACGAACACTTTTTACAGTAGACATCTAGAAAGAAAATATATCAATTTAATCATCATTTATATGAAGTACATTTTATTGTTGAAATTGAACATCTGAATGATTTGTTTTAATAGTTATAGGAATTTCCTGATTTTTGTTTTTAGCTCCTGAATTAGATCTTATTAATTAGATATGACATTTTAAATAGGTATTTAAATATAAGAAATTCTTCGAAGATCTATTGAGGTTTTAAGTAAAAGAATAATGATTTTGATCAAAGTTCCATATAATATTAATCCATTCGCGACGACATCAATATTGCTTTCTCATAATTCGTGAAAGATTTCATTGTTTTATTTGTAGCAAGTGTAATACTTCAATACAACTTTTATCGACGTTTCTCTTATCAATATGTGCTATGAACAATCCTCTATCATCAGTAAAAAAATCAGCCCCTTTCATCAAACTATGGCAGAGATATTCAATTTTTTCTGCGATAAGTGAGACTTTGGATCAGCCTATAGTGTGACCCACCGGTGGGTCACATCGCCGTGAAAGGGTTAAACCTTTAACTAATATTATGAACAAAAAAAAAACAACTTTATCCAATCATATTTGTCCACAGATGCGATCATTCATATATTGCATAAGTTTTCTAATAAATTTCATCTATTGTTCGTTCATCTTATGATTGTTAATCACAAGCGATTAATTATCTGATTGATATAATCAAAAGTGAAAGTGATTTTAATAATTTTGATTGAAATTCTTTTTAACAAAACGTACTAAGAAAACCAAATGTTATTATCATCAAAAATAAATAGGCAACATAATTTATTGTCCATTAAGTACATTTTATAGTCACCGAATACAGAAAAGTATCTCGTATCTTCAGGATGATCGTCGACTAGAAAATTGTGGACCTAACGAGCTCTACTGTGAATTAATCTTTGATAGAAAAATAGATGTCTTCTTTATATTTTGCATTACGTTCATCAATAAATCTTAATGAAAGTCAGATGCAATCACTAAGTAATTATACTTTTCAAAACGATTAGGGAGTCTTTTTAATCTTGTTCAACCATTGAGAAAAAAAAGATATGTCTAGCACAATATTCGATTTTAAGTGAACAAATTATCAATTTCGGAAAAAATGCAAAGTTTCACATTACTAAGAAGAAACGTTGTCACTGACTTGGACTTGATAGCAGAGAATTCATTTTTATAAGTCGGTCTAGTTTTGTTCCAAATTTCACTTTTAATCACAACATATAGGTATGAAATTGTGTACAATTCGATGAACATAATTTAACTACTATTCTGTATTAGTTTTCGCAGTAGTTCAAAAGCACTCATACGCTTAGATCCTCGTCTATCAGAGAACTGACAAATCTGACATTTATATTATTACTTCTGCAGACTAGAAACCATGCTTCATTGCCAGTTACATCAACATTATTATGTCACAAAATTGTTTCTCGTTGTACAGCTCAGCTTTTTGTAATGTGTAAACACTTCTCATACATATAATGCATCTTTTGTTGTAAAAAGTGAAACGCAAATGGAATAAAGAAAAGAAAAATGCAAGGAACACTTGCCACACACTTGCTACGAGCAACAACGACAACCAATCTTATACTTGTGGCTCATTTCAAATGGCAATTCATTTAGCACAATCTGCGGGTGTTGCTAAAATTTTTCGCTTTGTTGATAATGAATATCATTCAAAACTATTTCCATCGGTCAGTGACTATATAACATATGAACTTTTAACTCTTGAACAATGTTTAGAGCCGATTGCGGCTCGAATTGATCGATTAGATCAAATAATTCTATTAGCCAAAGACAAGTGCCATTTCCCTTGCGAACACGGTCTCACACAAGATGAATCAGCTGCTATTTTTCTCTATACGATAGAATGGAACAGTAGTACTCTCTATCAAATGATTAATAGAGATCTTCGTTTAGAAGAGCAGTCAGTTTCGAAGTCATGGCTTCCTTATCTGAAATTATTTTATACTGCTTTAAATAAATTGCCCAATGCTCAAATAAATGTGTGGCGAAGTATTCAAGAAGATACGATCAAGGAACTAGAAAAAAATAATGAATTTATCTGGTGGAATATTACTTCATGTTCATCGTCGAGTGATGTTATTAAAGATTTTATTGGAATAAATTCAAGATTACTAGTGATTAAAACAACAACGGGAAAGGATATATCGAACTATTCGAATTTTCCAGATCAACATGAGATTATTCTTTGTCCAGGTACTCGACTACGTTTCATGAAAAATATTCAAGATCTTACGTATTTGCAAGAGATAACTGATGAAAGTGAACGAAAAACATCGCTTCCTGTCAAAACAAATAGCTTAGTCAGCATTTTATTATCACAGCGGTACAACAAATGGTCACTCTTATTATTGATGCACTTTATCATACTGATATTAGCACTATTTCTTTTCACTCCTACTGCAAAGCCATTGGCTAGTTTTGTATTATCAAACAGTACTACACCGTTGTCCCAGGCGATGCAGAGCATGTTTTCATTGATAGCTGGCATAAGTCAAGCAATGATCACTTGTCGCCCATCAATTATTCATGTACATGTCGATGAAATTGGGAATAGGTATGATCTAGGGATCCAAATATTACGCCAGCGTATGTTGAGATTATGCGCCTGATTTACAAGTCAACAAGTAGTACACAACATTGAGGAATAGCTTTGAAGGAGAATGGAAAGATGGTAAGAAGCACGGTAAAGGTAAGATGAATTATGCGAATGGTTACACATATACTGGCGATTGGGTTGAAGACGTAGCGACAGGTGAAGGGGTCTTCATCTGGACCAGTGGGGATCAATACGAGGGACAATATCAAAACGGTCAGCGACATGGTAAAGGTTCGTATACTTATGCAAACGGCGACAAGTACACGGGCGATTGGTTCGAAGACAAGAAATTAGGCCAGGGCATTTTTATCTGGGGACCTACCAGTGCTTGGGCCAACCACAAATATGAAGGAGAATTTTACAACGATCAGATGCATGGGCAAGGCACATACTCTTTTGCAAATGGTGACACTTACATTGGCGGTTGGATCAATAATCAACAGGAAGGTCAAGGTATCTTTAGTTTTGTTAATGGTGATCGATTTGAGGCGAGCTGTTCATAAATTTAGTGTCAATTAGTTTATAATATCTAGCCCTTTGGTTGAATTTAGCTTATGAGATTCTGAAATATCTGCTGGGAGGTTTCAAAGCTAGTAAAATGCACGGAGAAGGTTCTTATTACTTTGAAAATGGCAACAAATTTAAAGGTGAATGGATCGACGGCGAGAGAGTTGCCGATCAGGGGGCTATAATTTGGGCGACGAGGGATCGACCCATGATGACATATTCAAAAATCTATGGAACCCAAATCTATGATGTCGTCACTGGCATGTAAACTCAATTGACATAATCAAAGAATATTCATGGAAAAAATTCGAAGAACACGAGAAGAAAGAAACAGAAGAGACTCAGGTTGATGAAGTTGCTGCTCTTTAATTATGCTTTTTGTTGTTGGATTTCTTTCCGAAGCTTCTGCGTGATTTGCACTTGATCAACTACACTGTTATGAATCTACTTTTTGTCCTGTACTATATTGGAATGAGTAGTTTCTAATAAAAGTCGAAAAAAATTCTTAACATATTGTTACATAGCAACTATTTTGAGTATTGACTATTAAATTATCAATCACAATCCAGGGAGGTATTACAATGCTTCATTTGTGAGAAAAATCTAGAATAACACATGCACAGTTTGATATATTGATCTTCTTCGCACAAAAAATGGCAGAACATTTCGTTTTCTTAGAATTGTGATTGCGTGTGCAGATGACTGATGATCACATGCCATAGCAGTATGAGAATCAAATTGGTGTCTTTCAACTGAAATTATATCTATGTTACTGAATGATGGTGCCTTTAAGACATACAATATCGATCTAGGCAGATGATTGAAGTGTTATTTAAGTAGACTTTTAGCTATTTCAATCATCTGTACCTTCCTCTTCCTTTTTACAGTAAGAGAATTACTGACTAAAGATCAAGTAGCAAAACAAGAGACACTACTACAACCTGAAATCAACAGAACTAGTCTCGGTATTGGGAAACCGCGACTGAGACTCAACTCAGAGCTGGCTTGCAACGAAGAACTTTGTAGATCTTTCATGCAGCTACATTATGCACGAATATCTTTCTTTTTCAAGATACTGAGTTAGTCTTGTTCTGAGTACAACCGATCCAATGGAGAATGTGGGTCTGGGTGAGGAATGAAATATCTATACTACTCACACCCATACCCTGTTTGAAAATTTCGAAATGTTTGGTAATTACGAAAGTCGCAGAAATTCGAAAAGTAGAAATGGCTTTACGAAACTTTAGAAATTCGTTTAATTGCTTTTTTGTTTTGATCGTTAAGTTTTGAAAAAAAAAGTATTTGAAATGTATATTACAGATAAAAGTAAAATTTCAACCATCCACACCTCATACCCCGTAAATAAAAAAATCACTAACTCCGTTTTTTATTCTTCTATATGATCGTATTAAAAATCAAAATCATAGCATAGGTGTAAGATGAGTTATAGAACGTATGCTTTGTCATACATAGTCATTTATCCTTTTGTAATGAACATAAAGACATAATCGATAAATTTTGTTTTGTATTTTCATATAACTTTGAAGTTATTCATAGAAGATCAATGAAGAAATTTATTCGTGTTTGATATTGGAAAAAAAAACAAAAATAAACAGATAGAATAAAATATTCATTTTTTTAGTCTCATTCCATTTTTCATTTCTCCTATAACAAGGCTAAATATTTTTTATTTATGCTTTATAATTTGCATTCTTATCAAGATATAGATAGTACGTATTGACATAGTCCGTAGGTAAAAGAGAATAAAACTTTGTTGTCACTGTATCTTTTTTTCTTCACCTGAGATATTGCAAACAGTTTCATTAAAACAAATTGTACAAGACAACGTGCTGATGCTGAATACTTGTGTTTTTTCTAATTGCAATAAATTCTAATCGATGTTTTATTCTTAAACAGATCTTAAAATGTGCATATGTATATAAAGTTACTCTCATACTCTGACCATGTTCAATTTTATATTTAAAATATCTGCGTGTATTCGTTTGATTTATAAAAAACATGTCGGAGATTTCTTTTAATTTTGATTTCATTTGAAACAGCATTTGTTGATTATCAGATATTATCAAATGAAACATTCAAGAAAACCTCGCATATACTCGTTTTTTCCCTCGATTTTTCTATTGAGAAATAAGAGAAAGCGGTAAATCTTTTAAAATATCCGTTTTAATTGAAAAATGAATTATACTGAAAATTATCAATCTTTATATGATCTTAAAGAAAAATTGTCTGCTGCTCATGATAATGTAACTTTTATTTCAACATGAAATAAAAAGCAAGAACTTTTTTTTAGAAAAGTCATGCTCTGTTAACTATTAGTAATCGAATTATAGTATAGAGATGCACTGAAATGTTTTCTTGCTAGTTACTGTCTATCTTTAAACGATGCTAACCATTTCAAACCATACAAAAACAGATACCAATCTATGTATTCCATATGAAATGAATGTCATTGAACAAGTGTGAGTGTCTTTTTTTGTTTCTTTGTCGTCACTCGTTGTCATCTCTTTCGGTGAATGCTTTATTGCTACTATATATCGTCCTTTTCATAAAGTTCTTATTTGATAAGAATTAAAAAAAGAGAGGTAAACACAGATAGCGACGAAAGATAACGGTTTAACACGCTGCAAAAGTAAAATACGAACCATTCAAAAAAAAACAAGCTAACGGTGTAGAACGCAACAAATCCTATCAACAACAACATATTAGCAAATTTGCAAAGAACATTTCAACTTCAATTGCTTGATCGTGGTGAGTGAACTATTAGGAAGATTCGAAAATGAAAAGAAACTTTTGAATGTTATATAATTAGCGCCAAGATACTACGAATAGTCTACCTCTTTTCTCCCACTCTATTCGTCAATTTCAGTTCTTAAGGAGATAAGAAAGCAAAAATTAATATAACGCGTCTGTGAATTTAATGAGACTACGCATAAAAAGGATACGAGCGCAATAGTAAACTTTGGATGTGTATAAGTGTAATAATAGCGGAAAAGCTTCTGGTCGCATACCCATATGCCCAGATGACGATTAGACCCTGTCAGTCAAAGATCGATACGCGGCAATCATGACGAAGAGCTTCCAACCGCAGCAAAGCCCGTAACAGTGGGGGTGGAAAGCTTCGCTTTATTCACTAATGTAACGGAATTAGAGGGACAACTTTCATCACTCACAGTGATGTGGAACGTCATTTGGGCTATATGGTCGTGCTCCGCAGTTAATGTGCAAGGTTTCGACCCTCCTACCAATTTTTCGGGACGATGGTGAAAACTTCAGGTCCATAGAGCAATCTGTCAGAGTAACAGCTGAAAGGGTGGGTGTGGGTGTGAGTGTGAGTGTGGGTGCGAAAAAAGAGAAAATATCAGTTTTTTTTTCCACTGACGCCCGCATGTGTACCCGCACCCATATTCACATCGACACCCATGCCTACATTCACAGTCACACCCCACGTCCACTCAACTTTCGATTAGCTCTATCTATCTTAAGGAAATGAATCATTGGAAACGAAGGCAATTTGTGATTATTCAGGCTACATGATGCTTTTTGTCAAATGTCAATCGACTGGGAGCATATTAATGAATCAAACTATTCAGAGTCAATGGAAGTTATCCCATAAGTCAAGCGTAGTATACAGTGTCGAAGAGAGAAGCATAAATGCGATATATGTAAGTTATTAGCAAAAATAATTTTCAAAAGAGGATGATTGATGGCCGAACCACTCTGCTCCTTTCCACCCAAATTAGTTGAAATAGCAACAGAAAGCAGGTGATAGTTTTTTTTGTCCATGACTGCATCACCATGGAGATGAATAGCTTTTGAAAGACGTCTTTTTGAATACTCACTCGAATCCTTGTACAACAACAATCCTTTTATTTGCTATTAAATAGCATATTGACCTGTAAAATCACAGAGCTGAAGAGAAGTCCACTCATACACACTTTCACGAAGCGAGCAATCAATCACAGCACTTTATATAATAACAACAGTAAAAACTTCATAACATAAAAGCCACGAAAACAACAACGGGATACATGAAAATTTCCACAACAGCAAGACAAAACGAATATTGAAAGCTGAGCAACATGGCCACTACTAGTGTAAACACGGATGGTTTTCGATGTGGGTGTTCGTGTGGATGTGAATTAAGAGAAGACCACAGCATCTACCGACACTCGCCCCACCCCACCACACACATCCCATCTACACCCACACCCAAAATGCTTCGAATATTAGAAACGATTGAGATCAAGGAGGTATGAGTATGAAGTGAAGGGGATAATTACACCCACACTCAGCAAAACTCAGAACAAAAATCTTTAGACCACATAATTATATCAAGAAGTCAGTGTACTAAATTTCGATACTTTCACTAATTAGTTAAGCCGAAGATGGAAACCTCAAGATCACAGAGCAATGCATAGAAACGATGCCAAATTGTTTCGAATATTAGAGAAATCTGTCAGGATAACAGCTGAAAACTTTCAGCAGCATGACGATCATTGAGAGTCAAACGAAAAATTCTGCTCTTACAAACGTAGGTGATAGTAGCGGCACAAGAGTCGTGATCCTCAGTTATTTAGCAGGATGTCAACGAAAAGTTTAAAGTGTTACAGAAAATCATGACAATGACAGCAACAAATTGGAACTCACGTAGAAATTCTTGTGATGGTCCGATAAACATATTCGGTTTCTCAATCACTCTGTCTAGAGGATGTCGGTGTGAGGCTTCACTTCATTCACGCCCACACTCCACAAACGTAGACACACCTACACCCAAATCCATCCACATTCCACACACCCCCACCCATAGTAATTGTAGATAAGTTGCAATCCACAAGCTATTTCGAAAAATGCCAGTTGAAAGCTTCAGGCAGTACATAAAATCATGAGAATTAAAGCAACATATTTTACCTGATATAGGGATCCGTAAACATGTGCCCCATGAAAGCAAAAAAGCTGTAGATCACTCATGTTTTTCACTGCGCGTCCACTAAGCGTATTATGTCACACTGGGGTACTTGAGACTAACATCTACATGTATAGAGCCATACAAAGATAGGCAACAGGAAAACAAGAAAGTCTAGAGTAGCTCATCAATGTGTCTTGAGGAAGGAACAATGCTTCGACCAATCGATGTATGTATTTCATCCGTAGTGAATACTTTGGGACCGCTCACCATGCGAAAGAGTCGAACAAAAATCTAAACAGCACATTCGTCCATAAGGGTATCCGAAAACATTTTGAACGAGTTGGCAATATGTGAAAGTCACCACGAAAAGTTTCAAGCTAATAGTCAATGCACTTTCGTGGCCTCAAAACTTGCCAGCTGAACAGAAACGTGTTAGCAAAGCAAAAGAAGGGTGTGTGGGTGGGTTTTAAGTGAGTTTTGTTGACAAAGCATTCACATCCACAGTCGTATCGACATTCACCTGAACTCACAGCTACACCCACACCGACGCCCTTACCTATACCCTACACCCAGCAATGGTATCCATATCCATCCACACACTCAACCCACACATCCACACGCACATACACTCACATCCACACCCTAATTTGGTGACAAACGTGCGAATCTACGCTGCTGTTACAAAAGTTGAAGGCACAGAACTAAAATGACCGCCTAATATAATCAAAAGTTGTTTCCTTGATTATGCTTGATTTTTATAGATTTCGAATTTACATAAAGTGATTAGTTGATAGTTGTTGACAATGGATACAATCGGACAGACTCAAGTATCTGATCAATGCTTCGGACGTATTGCTGATATGGTGAAGGAGTCGCTTGAATTTTTTGCACCCATTAGTGGCTATGGGAAAATGCCTCTTGTTTCACTTGAAGAAGCAGTGAAACCACTAGTTGATATTATACCAGAAGTGCAAAGTTATGCTTACGTGGCTAAACAAAAATGTCAAAATCCTCCTGATACATTAACACCAGATGAATCGGCTTCTATCATGCTCTACACAATGGGATGGCAACAACCTGATGAATCTCTCTATGCTGTCCTGAATAGTACCATGCGGTCGCCAAATCGTCAGACAATATTGAGACCATGGTATCTATACATCAGACTCTTTCTCAATGCCCTCTTTCGTCTTCCACCACTATGCGAAATAACCTATAGAGGGATTAAAATGGACTTGAGCGCACGCTACACCAAAGGAGCTACAATTGTTTGGTGGGCTTTCTCATCTACCACTAAATGTATTGATGTTTTGCAACTAAACAGTTTTTTGGGTGAAACAGGCACTAGAACGATATTCAACATACAATGTCAAACAGCGAGAGACATTTCGAAGCATTCTTATTATCCCATTGAACAAGAAGCATTGCTTCTAGCTGCTACTCAATTTCAAGTGACAGGCTGTCTTAAACAAGGTGATCTTTGCATAATACAACTCAAAGAAACTTGCCCACCTCATCCACTTTTACAGCCAGTACCAGTTATTCTTCCTCAATGTTGCAATCCATCTTCGACAGGTAAATCAAGAGAAAAAAGAAAAATTGCAATATTCCTACATGACATCGTTCATCACTACTTTCCATTAATAAAGAGCAGCAAAAATCATGTATATTAATCAACCTATTTACCCATGTGCGCACAGGCATTGTTTTCGAAGGTTGTCTAAGATCCCTAAAACGTGAATTTTACTTAATGTACATGGGTGAGGAGAAGGACTTAAGTAATGAATAGAAATCACGCGATATTTATGTTAAACCATGTTATAATATACCTTACTTTTTTATTAGAGCATCATCGTTTTTGTTTCGCAGATACTAAGTTCGGTTCTCTAACATGGAGTGCTACATCCTACCACAAGAAGAACCTTTCTTTTTTCAATAGAATATTATTATCGTCCGACAAGGACTTTCTATGTCTCATGGAAATTTTTCTTTTACTATAAGTGTTTTGAGTCATTTTTACCAGCTACACAATAAATCAGCTCATAGGGAAACCAGCATCCTTTATCAAAACAAAACCTCATTTGTAACAAAGCAATACTCGTTTGCCAACTATATATACATGGGCAGCATTTAGCACCGATCATAGTTTCCTGAATTAGTTCGTAAATAATGTCCACATGTGTGGATAATGAAACGAAGAAGGCAATGTCACCGAGTCAGTAAAAAGTTTTATTTAGGAATTTTTATTTTATCATATGCCATGCATATCATAAACCAATACCATCCTAGTATTCATAGAAACCTGTACACATGTTATTTACAATTAAAAAACATTTCAAAGTACGCAATGAGCACATTTGGAGCAATAACTGCATATACATGTATGTGATACTATTTATGAAACTTTAGTATCGAGATAATAATATCACAAAAGCATTTCAAATGTGCCTAGTAACATCATAGAACATTATCATCATCTAAATACATGTTATTTGTTAGTTTTATAACACAAATTCAATTCAATGGTATGTGTTCATATATCATAATCTGATCACTAGATTCAAAAATAAATACATGACAATTTCAAGTTCTTTGAGCACAGTCTGCTTTGTTGGAGCAGCTGGTATTCTCCTAACATTAAGTTTTTGACGGCTACATTCTGGTTTACTGATATGGCAGAGTTGCATAATCCGGAGGGAATAAAGTAAGACATTTAGTGAATTCAGCTCATTTCAAAAGAACTGGACGACTGATATCAGTCTCTTTTCTCGATCACCAATTATCACAGCTTCAACTATGACAAAAACAGAAAAAGGAAAACTAAACTTAACTGAATGCGAAAGAAAAGGTGGCGAATAAATAAAAGAAACGATTCTCATGAACAGATAGCGCAGCATTTCAATCTCCCAAATCTAGTCTGATCCTCATACTCACCGTATTCGCACTCACACTCGGATCCGTGCCTGCAACCACACTTTTTTTCATGCTGAACAATATCCAGATGACTTTTCATCTATTTTAATTAAAATGAAATATGGAATACTAAAAAATGAGTAGGCTCAGATGGCAAAAACTCGATTGTTGACGAGCTTATCAGCCGTATGTTCCGCTGTCATGTCACCATTTCGGTACAGCATCTAGCTGCGACGATAAAAAAAAATTTCAGTTCAAAATTTCAATTAATTTGTATCAAATCTGAATTCAGATGGAAAACTGAAATCTGATTGTTCACTGTACAAAGCTTTAAAGATACAGAAAACAATATTCTGGAAACCAAAATTTAACATACATAGTGATGAAAAGAAGCATAACATATATATTATTTTCTAAAAAAGTGTTGGAGTAGCTGACTTGACCTTATTGCTAATGCGCATGCACTGGTGTGCAATGCCTCTAATTCAGTGGTAAGAGTAAGAATTGTTATTTTACGATATCATCTAACTCTTGAAGAATGTTTTTTTTTTACTTTCTTTTTTATTTTTGTAAATGGTTCTGGTGACAGGAACAGTATTATAAAACAGTTTAGCTACCTTTAAAAGGCTTTTAACTACAAATTTAAAAATTGATTCCGAGTATCACATCTAATATCGTCGTAGAAACTATATTGGTTCTATTTCGGGTAAAAAGAAGTAGACACTACTCCCCCTACTTACTGTCAATGGTCATGAAGTAAAATAGCTTCATGGATTTTCTTTCGGAAAAGAAATGCTGTTAGTTCAAATTCAGTCATGACCTTTGTTGATTTGTACACAAACGAAAAATACCTTTTTTTCTATTTTCAATAATTCTGATGGCTAGATTTTAAATTGTAAGTTCAAGCGTGAAATTCTAGTTAAACTAATGAATATACCAACTTTTCAGGTATGTTCAATTAAACAGTAAATGTGACGACGAGGTTCAATAGAAGATTCATGAGAATACAGAAGTATAAAAAAACGGTGTGCCCATGTATGAAATCGATGTAAAATACGAAAATTAATATTCAAAGTAAAATTTTTCAAATCACACCCATACCTTCTAAGAAGATGGTATATATTTCATAAATTCATCCAAATATCATAACTTTGTATGTTAATGAAAAACGTTATAAATAGTTGTTTGATTATCAAATGTTGTTTCCTTACGAACACAATAATCTCTTTCATTTTATCCATTTATATCTATAGATATGATGCAGCAAAATTGCTTGCTGATATACTTTATAGACAATGAGATGAACAAAAATATTGGTCAAAAAATTCATGTCCTAATATAAGAAACTTTAGATCATTTTTTTGATAATGAAAGTTCCAGTAGGATTCTTCGTTGAGAAACTGTTTTGCTCGAAATAGACGCATTAAAATGATCAATTAACGTTTTAACTGTCGATGAAAATTGATTACAAAAAGCGAAGACATATCACGAAATTAAGGTTGTGCTGGTCTATTGAATTTGAATCCAAAATATCAATTCAAACTAGAATTTTCAACAGTTTCGTTTTACAAAATTTCCTTTCTTAAAAGCCATGAATGGAAAACAAAGTACTGCAATAGAATGAGAAGATACAAGAAGAAGTTATAAGCATCTTTCTCGATTCAACTAATGAAACATTGTTTTTAAAGAATATGTGAGTGGATGTAAGCGTAGGTATGAGCAATGGAAGTAACAATGCCACAGTCACACCCAATGTCAAATTTATAAAACGGAAGAGGATATTCTTCCGCAGCTCTTTGGTTAACGCTGATACCTTTGTGGGTTTTAATATCTAGCTTTTTATTAAGCACATTTTGAGAAAGGTACTGACATGGAATGTTATTGTAGAAAAAACTGACACGTCCATGCTCACATCCCAAGAGAATAGATAACTATGTTTATAATAATTCAAATTTTTAGGTATTTTCGAATCGATAGAAATTTTCACAATTTTAAGAAATTGAAATTTTAAATAATTTTGGCACTCAGATTTCATATTAGTATGAATGTGAGATCTGCCACTTCTTGTTGGCCTTCCAACAATCATTTTACAAATTAACTAAATTATTCAATCTAAGATAAAAATTTTCATGTCAGGAATATTAAAAGAAGCAAGTTAATAATATTAATGGAATAATAAAAAACTTTTATAATGAAATTTTTGTAAAAAAGACTAAATTGGCAAAGTTGCACGCTTTCCAGTCATCGTTTGTGCTCTGTATCAAAAAAACGATAAAGTGCATCTTCATTCATAGAAATACACAATTTCCTAAGGAATGGAACGATGAATCTTCTTATAAAAAAACTGTGTTTCAAAATAACTAAAATATGCACAAATACTCAGAAAGACGCTGTGATTGTCATTTATTTTGCCCCATTCTCTTTTTATCGTTTCCTCGTCATTCTTTTTTCAAATAACTCGAGTTTTAGCTCTACGTGAAAAATTCTAATTTACGAAATGGAATGTTACCACGAGAATCTCTATTCAGAATAGCGATTATGCTCTGTTTTCATTTGAGCATTAGATATTTCTCCGCTGTGCAACCTTATTGTGTTGCTAAATATCTGCACTATACTTGTTACCAAAGATATTTATTTTGAATAATACACTCAAAGAATTTTGTCACTTCTGGTCATTGATCATAATAAATTTATATAATTGGGAAAAATTCTTAGAATACAAATTATGAACATCGATTTCAGTAGAATAACTGTTAAACTTCAGATTCTTACTGAAGTTCTATATTAGTTCTGATTTTGAGAACTGTTCCAACAGTTCTTTTGAAAGGAACTCTAGCAGAAATCAGTTCGGTTGGAACTTTTGAAAAACCTAATTGGACCTAGTTCAGCTCTAAAGAAACATGAACTGATCACATCTCTGACAGTTCAAGTAAACTTATGAGCTTCAACTGTCGCAGATCTAAACAACGAATAGTTTTATAGAACTTGAAGGTCTCGTAGATCTAGTTGCATCGTATTATATGAGTCAACTATATAAGTAAATTTCATATTCGATATCCTTTGTAAGACTTTTTAGGTGTTCTCTCATCATATATTTTCATAGCAAAGCTGAAGTTATTATGTCTTCCAATGTCAGTTTATACAACTCTGTGAAATATTAGAACTTTGTCAATCACATAAGAAAAGTCATTTATTGCATGCATGACTTAATTTGATAGGTTCAACTAACGTAAGTTTACTGTAAGAGTTTTCTAGAGTAAAGACGAGGATTATGACTGATATCGATTCAAATGAACAATCTATAAAATTGCAAATGACAGTACTGAACTTAATGTAAGATGATATCGTCTGATTTAAAGCCTTCTTAGTTGACTAAACAAAACAAAATACCATACTAAACTTTTACACCTTGGTTCAATAATCTTTCCTATAAAAGTAATGAGTCAGAAGAAATTTATTTTCTTCGACGTATTCGAATATCTTAGTCTTCTCTTGTCTTTGCATCAAAATTAGAGAAAAAAACAATGCTATGAATACTAAAAAATAAAATAATAAATGTGGCAATGTAACATTCGTTTTTGAGTGCCAAAAGTACGCATACATTCGATAACTAAATCAATTAGTCAATATTCAAAGTTTCTATTCTATTTATTCTTCTTCATTAATACTGGAACTTCTATTCTAGAAACTGAAGACCTTCACAAAAATGCCAATGATATGTGTGTTGACAAATTCTGCATCATTTGGCTTGATGCTAATGCGAACACTGAAGAGATCCAAAATGCAGAACAAAAATTGGCCTCTATTATTAATCATTTCGAGGAGTTTCAAGATAAAGAACAATGCCAGAAATATATTGAAACACGATCAGAAAAGGATCGACTAGTAATAATCGTTAGTGGTCGATTCGGAAAAGAAATAGTACCTTCTGTTCACTACCTTCCACAAGTTATGTCAATTTATGTGTACTGCATGGATAAAAAACTTAATGAACAATGGGCTTGTAAATTCGCAAAAGTAAAATTAAGTTGAATGATTTCGACTACATTTTATGATTTCTTGTTGATAGGTAAAAGCTGTTGTTGTTCAGTTTGATGAACTTATTTCTCGAATTGAAACTGATCATCAAGTTCACAAAACGGTGAAAGAATCATTTTCAATCAATAGTTTTACTACAAGTGTTGATGCAGGTAACTCTACAATAGGCGTAAACGGTCTGTTTCTTTTTTCAGAAGGACGGGTTGATTTCCTTAAAGTTGAAGCTCTAAAGTGTATTACTTTAGCTTTAACTGTTGAACTTTAAAGTAGCACTTTAGCTTTAATTTGTAAAGCAAAGCTAAAGTGCCAAGTGGATTATTCACCAAATTATCGATCGACTAATTAGTACTCACAGAATGGTTACTCATGCAGTTGATGAATAAACATCTAATTATTTATTCTGACACTTAATTGAGAAACCAATGAGTGATCAGTAATAAGTACTTAACTAGCATTAATTAGACGAGTACTAATTGGATGAGTACAAAATAATTAATTATTAGCTGTTAAATAGTCACATATTGCTTTTCACTTACGAAGAAACCCATTCAACTGATAACTTCCGTTCAAGCTTATATTTTGTTCATAGATAGGGATTATAGTGTAGGATAAAAGACCTCGAATGATTCGTGCCACTGCCTCTGTATTTCAGAAAAAAATCAGATAACAAGTGTCTATAGAAATGACATTTTTATCAGATACGCCAAAATTATTGCAAAACTTTCTTATGTTGCACATATCTTGGGCTAGGAAAATGGTAAAGTCTTAATTGTTTTCTTTATAAGATGTGCCACAAAACGCTCTACAAAATTTAACAAAAGAAACTTCTAATGACTTTCTCAAATGATTTTTCCATAATCAACAAAAATTATCTGTATGATTATACTATTTCCCGTCATATCGAGCATAATAAAGATTTTTGGAAAACTTTTTTTATTTTGTATACATCTCGATTCGCGAAAATGATAGCATTTTAATTTTCTTCTTGAAAGATCCGTCACCGAAAGCTCTACAAAAGCTTTATGGACAAATCTATGGTGAAATTTTAAAAAAATTATTGTACGCTGTTTTTGCTCATTGTCAGTTTAGAACAATATATAGCGCGCAAAATGGCAAAAAGAATTTCCGTAAAGGAAAATATTTTTTAATTTCATCGCATTTGAAGGCACTATCAATTGTACTTTTTTCTTATTTTATGGTGCATTCGGTATTTTTATAGATGACATAGGAAAACGGAACAAAAAAGTTTTGAAAATGTACTGCTCTTATTTAAGAACATGCCAAAACGCTACCAGGAATGATAAATTAATCAATCCGAACAGTTTTTTTCTCTCTATGTATAGAATATCCAATTTTTCTGTGACTTATATTTTTACAGATTGTAAGCATATCTAGGAGGATGTGCGTCTAAGTAAAAAGGAATACTCACACTCTCTTTTTTACGAGTGCTTCTCTTTTCTATTGCACCGTTCCGTTTATGAATGTGTTATAAAATACGTTATATACGATCGTAAAGAGCAGAAAAAGCTCTATGGTTTGCTTACAAAAGTTTTCTTTTAGCACCCTTTTATCCAAGAGAAATGGAGACTGGTATCTTGTACCATTACTTTTAAATCACACATTATTAAAAAAAGTTTCTGAAAAACGTTTAATGATATTTCCACATTTATATCACTTGCTACTTAAGTTAGAACCTTTATTTTTCTACAATAAATATACATTTAAAAACTCCTTAAAATCACTTTTTCTTTGTTGAATTTGCTTAAGTGCTGATAAATATATATCCATAAGAAAAATTATGAGAACTTTTTTCCATATACTAAAACAAGAGAAAAACAATGTAAATGTTTCAGTTTGTACGGCATTTGACGCTCTATAAAAATATGTAATTTATTTGAATTTTAATCTTTCCTTATTTTTTCCGTCCAACGTCCACACTATTTTACAGACACTTGTATATTTTTGTGTAGTGACACATTGTGAAATCCAGCTCTGGCTGTCAAATAGAGCTGGGGGCGTACAGACCATAATGAGAAGAAAGAGGACTCTTGTTGTATCAAATTGGCAAAAAAAACTTCTCTCTGATCAGTTTTTTTTCTAAGGAAAAACAGCAGGAGTTTCTCAAAAAAATGTAGAGTGACGTTTTTTCCGAAAATAATTCGAGCGAACTCATTCAAAAATATTCTTTACAGTTATAGTCTAACTTAGCAGAGTTCGGTGAGCAAATCTGAATGAATTGTGTACTATCCTGACTACTCATTTCCGATGTAGATCTAATTAATGATTCCAGCCTTTTGAACGAGTAGAGCCACTTTACTATTGAATTAGGCAGATATTTAAGTTTACAGCGTGTATTTCCTTTAATATCTAATAAAGTGTACGGAAACTTTTGCCATACAATACAGGCATAGAAAATAAAGAAAATACACTCCTCAGAAATTGGTAAGGCCAACTTTCATTTTTTCAAGCCAATCGTAGCAAAAAGTGGCAATTCACTCATGCATCAGGTTTAATTTTATTATACCTGCTGTGATTTTGACAACGTGAAATCTCACAGGCTTCTAAAGAGTAGAAATTCAATAAAATGTCAAAAAATTAGAGTTTGATGTTCAAATCAAGAATGAAACACTACTCTTTGATATGCATGAGTAAGGATGAAACGAGAGGTTAGTGAATTCTCTTCATCATTCACCACATCATCTTCATCGAATCTTTAATGTATCCATGTCACTCGTATCTCTTAGTTGATAAGATATTGGAAATCAAATCAAGCACATTCAATTCATTAATATATGTTTTTGTCAATAGATAGAATAAATCAACACTTATGACTCGAGTCGAATAATAAATTTTTCTACTTTTGAAATAGGTCATTGAACAGACGCCTGTACAGAAAAAATGTGCAGGACAAGCATGCGTAAAACATTTTTTTCTTTAAACAATCGTTTGTTACCATACATATTGTAATCAACCTTCATCAAGAAGATTTCTCTTAACATCGATTGCTTAAATGAGAAGTCTACAACGAGATTTTTGAAATATTTTTCTTTGTATTTTTTCTGACATAAGTTTCCATCTATTTTCAACTGACTATGTATCTCTTCATTTGATATCTGTGCCATCTAGTTCTAATCTTTTTTCCAAAAGAACTCATGAATGAGGATATGCGTGAAACCAAGATTCCGCCTGGTATCAACACAGAGACCCACACTCCTTTCTTGAATATTCTAACTTTCCAGAAAGAAAGGATACATTTGATTGCAAAGTCAAAACTGTATTTCAGACATAAATGCTTACAAATCTGATTGATTTTTAGCTGGAGTATCCTAACATTGGACGCTGAAAGCCAACTCTGGAGCTTCAAACTTTATCTCTAATTAAGAAATCGATCTATACAGAAGTTGGAATGATTTCTTTCTTTGATATCCTAATTTTACGGAATCAAAGTATACTATAGGCATAAAAAACGAAAATATATTAAGTCGCACTAATATTAATTAGTCAAGAGTTTGTTAAGTGATCATGAATCTAATAGGAAAATACTAATAGTCATATATATTTATTTGTAAATAATTTATCCTAAAAAATATAGTAAATGATTTGNCTGATGTAGTCTTTAAGTAACCGAAATATGATAGAAATTGTGCGAATTCCTGATTACATGATGATCGATTCAGATGAACTAGAGCACCTTGAAGTTGGTGAAGAGCAGAAATGATTTCTTCTGAATGCCGGCGTGTACTATTTGTCGTACGAGTTATTTGACCTACGATAAATAATTGTCAGTTCGTAAATAATAATAACAGGAATCAGCTTAAATATAGTAAATCTATTACTGTAGCATAGCATAATCTTTTTTTGACTACAATAGAATAGAATCGATTAGATTAAATTAACTTTAGTATGAATCGATATTAATCGATTGTTGAAATTTAGCTGAATAAAACCAAATAAAATGATTTTCATGAAAATCAATTCATTAGAATTAATGAATATGTCAAATATAATCGGAAAATGTTTATATTTAATGGACTTTTTATAATTACTGCATGAAAATTAATTTTCACTTGATGCTATGCGGGTTTGCTATGTACTTAGTTAATAAATTCAAATCAATCATATATCAATTCTATTAAAACTGATTTTCTGACGAATAATCTCAATAATAATTTAATGATTAGTTTGACTATGATTTCTCCAAAAAGTATTTTACATGGATCTGACCTAGTATGTCTTCAAAATTGAACGTGGTGAAGTTCGTAAGTGGTCCATAATCCATAACTGTTGCTGGAATGTGAATGATAGAATGTACGACTTGAACACAATGCCAACGAGTATATAATTTAGCAAAATCAAGATCGAAAGATTTGGAAAGCTGCCCCATAATAGACAACTGATTTAGTAATATCTCTCTGGATTCCGCCATATGCATTAATACCACTAGTTGTAACAAATGAGAATAATAAACTTACTTTAGAAATTTAAAAAAAATCATATGACCAAAAAGAAGCAATGTACGCAGTTCATTTGCCTTAAATTTTTTAAATTCAAGTAATTTTCGAGGCAGACGAGTAGTAGTTGAAGGAAGGCGGAGTTGTAAAAACAGAGTTGACAATTCATTGATGTGGTTTCTTATACTCCAGCTTTCCATACAATAATCATCATCAAACCATAATTTCAACATTCGCTTCTAAACATAGAAACAATCGTTATTTTAATATCATGTGTATCAAATGTTGATGAGAAGTCAGGTTAAAATCGATTTTAACTGAACATTTCATCAACTTTTTTTTTACAGGAGTTGTGTAGTTTTTAATCAGACTCTACTCACAAAAGTGCCCCTATACACATTATGCAGACTAACAGTCATAAACGACGTGCCAACATCAAAATGAAGCAAACGTCGATGGATACATCTTCCCAAGATTCCATTTTCTAATATATTGTGTCGCTCTTTCATTATCTTCTTTTGTTTCTTCGACAGCTTACTCGAAGCAACCATCTCCTGTTGATGACTATTTTTTAAATTGAGTAGAGTATCATGACGCTGATTGGAACGTAATTCAATGTTTACAAGGTCAACATTGCTTATAGCAAAAGATCGTACATGATCACGTTTGGTTGTCATCACAGTACCTTCAACAAAACAGTAATTAGAATCAGATTTGTTATATATTTCAATTGCTTTTTAAGACAAAAATGGCTTTGAACCAATTTACTGATAAATTGATAGATTTTATTCAATTTTTATGGAAAAAATTGATTTTAATTGACTTCTGTGGGTATAAAATCAATTCAAACGAATTAATTAACAAAATTGATTTTAATCAATGTTTTTCTTTAAAAAATATGATTAAAAATCGACTAAAATGAGACGATTTTAATTAGATTTTAATCATATGCTTTAGGCTTGAAGACAGATTTCATTTGGTTTTGATCTTATTTTAATCGATTAATAAACGTAAATCAATTAAAATCGATTTTGATAATTAGTTTTAACTGATTAAAGCTTATTAATTGTTTAAAATAGATTAAAAAAGATTGAAATCAAATAAAATCCGTCTTCAAGTCTAAAAATCTGATTCAAATCGTCTTATTGTAATAATTTTGCAATTCAATTTTTAATCGAATTTCCATCAGAAAATTATTAAATGGGATATTTTTCATAGAAATAGTTTTATGCCGGCATTCTGTTTGATTAAAAATAAATGCGAAAACCTCGGATTTAAATCCGAGTGTTATGTGTACTTCAAAAAGTGAAAAGATATATTCACTGTGTTTTTTATCACTAAATTGCAAGGAGAAAATACAGCCGTGCTAAGTTAGCATGGACCACACTGTATGCGACCATATCCGGTTACCACTGACTCTACTCTCAGTTATATTATATCTTTAGAAATCACAGGAATTGAGTTCAGATTCGTGTTTAGCTTGGGAAACTGGGTAAGAAGAGTTATTTTTGAATGGATTTGTGTTTGGATGTAGCGAGATTACGATCGTAAACAACCTCATGAATCAATAAGAGATGTATCATAGATACATGCATCAGTATTTTCCTAATAAATCACCAATATAAATAGCTATCGAGTTCGGGTTTTTACCTTTCGATAGTCCTTTTGACTAGCTACAAAACCAGGCTATTGGGAAACTCTAAAACTACTAGTCATCTGAGGTATATCTAGGCTATTTGTTTTCTCGATCCAGTTTTTGTGTATTTTGAGACCTTTTTCAGGCAATTTTTCGTTAGAAAACTACGATTTGGTTCAAAACTAATGTCAGATTCGGAATCAGCATTAAAAACTGAGGCGATTTATATATTCTGTGGATAATTCTGATAAAAATATTTTTTTTGAAAAGATCCCTGTATCCCCCCCTCAGGGATGGTCTGGTCAAGAATGATAATTTTTTAGATAACTCAGCCATTTCTTGACGGATCCTTCTCATCTTCGAACTCGACCGAGATATTGATGAGTCAATTCTGTGCACAAAATTTCAGCTCAATCGGATGTAATTGTGAAGAGTTATTGTGTACACGGACGGACGGACGGACGGACACACTGACCGATTCTAGAGTGTACTCACTTTTTGAGCACACAAAAACTATTTGTAATGGAAACAATATTTTTCTAGCAATAAATTATCTAACAAAAAGTAAGATTATAAGGAGTGAATGTTTATTTACGCATCCATTCTTGTTTGTGTGTAGCTACTTGCGCTTGAAGAGCAAGGCATTCTTGCTCTTTGGATGGATATACTAAATATGAAACAGTCAATCCATGTTNTATCAAAAGTTATTTGAAAAATACTCATTCGTATTTTTTAAAATGAGTATTATTATAACCAGCACATAAGATCACAACACAGATCTTATCGAAATTTTATTATTATGATATTAGTTGAAGTATGATCAAATAGCATAGAAAAATAGAGCATTCTTTCCTCTATCGGACTATGCAGAGAGAAAGTTTCTTTAAGCTTATTATAAGGCATTGAAGCGCTACTGCCACTACTTTTGGATTGCCCTAAGTAAAAGGGTCCCAAGTTCAAATTCTACACTTGAAATATTCGAGATAATTTAGAAAATATATTAAATAAGCATGGAGAACACAACTAATTAGTAATTAGGTACAACCCGATCTATTCAAATTATCGGGATATATTTGTTTATCGAGACAATCATACAAATCACACCACATCACAATTATTATATTGAAAATAATGATCTTGAATAAAATAAAATTAATCAAATGAGTTTTCTATGAATTAATGTTGAAAAGAAAAACTATAAGATTGATTATATGTTAGTGATATAATCGAAAATCAACTCATTTTGACGATCAATCCTTCTGCGTAGCCAGTTATTGATTATCAGAGTTATTGCGAGATCTTTTCGACTTGGCAGTGAGTATGAAGAATGTTTTAATATGAGATAAACCGAAAGTTATTTCTAGAATAATCTCGAATTTTTCTAAACATTTGGTTTACTCGGGTCACAAATCACATCATGTTGTTGAAGATGAACATTTTTGTCCAAAATATTTTTGGACAACTGGCAAATACAAAAACATCTTGAATTATGGACAATCATTGATCTATACATCGAATTTCATTTTCTTTGCTTGCTTTTTTGCAAGTTATCTTCGATGTTCATTCGAGAATGTTAAATGAGATAGGAATGTGAAACATTTTCAACGACCATCATCTACTCACCACTCATGAAACACAACATATCCAGCATTTTCTCCTCGTCTCACTTTCTAACTGAGACATTTTGAAATGAATGCTTTTGTGAGAGCTAAAAATTTTGATTTGCAAAAAAAAACAATCTCTCGTTGTGTACTATAACTTTGATTGAGTAGAAATTCTCATCATCACAAAAATTATTTAGTCATTTTGCGTTTCATTATGATCATTACAGTTCGATGCCGACTAAATAGTCTGAAATGTTTTTTTGATCGTGCAATGATGAATCATCTCTTCGATTTTCATTTTGACTTCTCTTTTAATCAAATTTAGTCAGAAAAACTATTCTCATTCAGAATGTGAGAAAAATCAATCGAACAACTTTCTTCGATAGTTCATGAGAAAGGAATGCGGTAGCGATTGATTTCATTTCATCTGACCGTCACCAATTATCGTGTTCGAGAGGAAATCTACAAATGGAATAATGACCGAGTAAGATGTTTCTCTTTTTCAGATATTCGACATCGGCCTTATTAATACAACCAGATCTTGAAAGAGTTTCCATACTTCGTAATAGTGAATGGATCACTTTGATTGATGTGAAGAATTCAATCATCTTTGAATATTGTTCATCAATTCACACATGAGTCGCTTTCTCAATATCGATCAATCTTGGTCCAGGAGTCAAATGCAAAAGGTCAAAAACATCTGACAGACAATCGAATAAAACTAATCGTAGATCTAGTCACAATGTGATCAGACATTCCATTTGGTGATAATATAGCGTCTTCTCATTTTTTCAATGAATATTCATCATTACATGTACTACATCATTGTTTTTCATATCTACAATAACCACAACAGACACATTATCTTTACTATTGATTCTTAAGAGATAACATTTCAAGATAGCACAATTCTGTTTCGTTGCCCATTTTATTACTGTGGCACGATGCAGTTTATTTTTCTGAAGTGCCAAGAAATAAGAAGAATTTTCAAAGATGGACAGAATATGCAAAACTGAATTCTCTGACTGAAGTTGATGAAAAATAATTTTTCACATGTGATTCATGATGAAATACTAGTCGATACGAAATAATATGATCCGAAACAATTTTATTATTCGATTACTTGTTCAAGACCGTACTGAAAATGTTAAAGAAATGTTAATTTTCAAAAATCATCAATTTCGATCAATGTTGAACTTTTGTACTCGATGATTTCCTTCATCACTCACGTAGAGATTACCCTCGTCATCAAATGACAAACCAACGGGACCATTGAGTTGATTTGATTGACTTCCTTGACCATTTCCACCCGCGATGACACTTCCCTGTGTGGCTCCTTGAGACCAACGTATTAGTCGATGATTCCCACTGTCAACCACATAGACAGTACCTAAGAGATCCACGACAAGTCCAAAAGGATTTGATAATTGTGTAAGATTATTTTCTTGGCCACCGGCCACAATAATGCCTTGTTTTGCACCTTTCATCCACTTCATTACACGATTATTGTTGGAATCTGATACGTAAACTGAATGATCTTGATCGACAAATACATAAGTTGGTTGATACAACTGATTGAGACGATTTCCTGGTCCCTTTCCACCTGCAACAATTATTTCTTGACGTTTTCCCATTCGATATTGTCGAACTTCATGTTTATCATAATTAACAATATAGAGAAATCCATTATCGTCCTTTGTCAAGCCCCAACATCCAACATTTGAGATGATCGTTTCTCCATTTTTACCATTTTGACGAGACCATCGAACAACCCTTTTATTCTCATAATCACAAATGATAAGACTATTTGTTTCTTTATCAAGAATCACATCTGTCGGACAGTTCAACTGATCAGGACGGTTTCCTGGTCCATTTCCACCTGCCACAACTCGGCCAGTCGTTGCACCACGTTTCCATTCTACAATACGATGATTCGAGCAGTCAGCAATGTAGACAGTTTGATCATCATCAATATATAAGCTCCATGGATTGCAGAGTTGATTCATTCCAGTACCGGGTCCATTTACTCCAGCGACAGTGATACCGTTCTGTATCCATTTTGTATTCACATTCAAATTTGCATTCGGTAGAACTGGTGCTGAAACAAAACATAATTTTATCTGTTGACATTCGATCAATATAAGTTTCTTCTTGTTGAGACTCAAAAAAAAAGACAAATCCATAATGTTTTGCTTAATTTCCATTTCGATACCTTTTTCTGATATTATCTCGAGGCATTTGTCTCTGAACGTTGAACCGATTTTTGAAAGTGTTTTGTTTATCGGATGAAATTTATTAAGAATAGAAGATCTTACGATTCTCTTTTGTGTCGAGTGTCAAAGAGAAAGTCGAATATTGACGAAATCGACTTTTTTTACGATATAGATGAACAAGATCTCTCAAAGTTTGTTATTATTTCTCAGGACGACTAAATGTAGTTAATTTCACATTCGGCTCGAGCTCAATAGTAATCGAAATTTATTAAAATCTTTTATAATACATGGGTATTATGAAATATTTATCGAATATATCACTGTGTCGTAAATAACTCTTCTTCTACTTTGAAGAACAAGAAGACTCAATTAAAATCTATTATAATTTTTAGATATCGACAGTTACTTTCATTATTCCATAATTATTTCTCTCTTAATAATAAAGAATCGGGAAGAAAAACTTTTGTACTCTAAATTTCATGTTAAAAAAAATTTTTCAGAATGAAGCTTTTTAGCGTAAAGAATTCTATAATCGAATAGAGATAATAATAGTAGAACTATTTAGATAATTGGCATTTTTTCTGAGTATTCAAAGATTTTATAGGATCATTCTATTCATATTTCTAATAGCACCTAATTTGAGCTGTAAACACTCTGTTAACTTGTTCAAAGAATAGCGTATTATAGCCATCATCAATGAGATTTACTTTGCTTAGCGTAATTTATCAATAAACTTGTTTTTTCTATTCGATTCTGACTCATAATAGAAAAAATACTCATTTCATTCGATAAACAAAATTCGACAAACAATTTATCAAACTTTGTCAAATGCCAAAGAAAATATTACGATTTTCATGTAATGAAATTAACAGTGGGTTTCTTTTTATCAGATATTCAATTGAGATATTTTAACATTTTCTCTATTATTTGTGAAGATTGGAAAAAGAAACAATCATTTGGAGTCAATGAGACACAGTCGAATTCATGAACAAATAGAATATCTTAAAAATATTTTGATTATCATCGAAATTTTGTTAAAAAATTCGAGTTTCTGAAACGTCAAAATCTTAAAACAAATGAAAATCAAATGAGATCAGTTTTTAAGTCAATCTCTAGTAGAGAATAAATATGAATTTGTTGAAGTCTCGTGATCTCAAATGTTTCAATCGTGAAACTTTTCCTTAAAATAGAATCCACATGATTATCCTATGTCATTTTATAGAACTTATGTCTATTGAAATTCGAAATATTATCAATGAAAATCTGCTTAGCTATGTCAAAACGATAAGTTTTGAATGACATTTAATTCAATTTTCTTGAACATGGTGTGCTTCTCCATGTAACTTTAATCTATGAAAGAATTCATTTAGACCCATTAATGACAAGAAAAAAAACTGCGATTGAATGACAAATAATATTCGATGAATTCATTGGAGAATTTCTTTTCTTCTAGATCTTAAGTTTAATATACTCACAGTTCAGTGGTTCTTCTCGAATGTAGATGAGTTGATTCCAATCAATTTGATCATTATCAACAATGATGCTTTTATTTACATCTTTTTGAGTAAATGGTTTAAGTATTTGTTGTATTTCATTGATTTTTTTTCGAAGTCGATCAATATCATTTTCAACAAAATTGTCTTCTTCTCGACGAGAACAAATTTCTTTTGTAATTGGTTCGAGTTGTTTTATTATTGTTATTCTTTGTTTATCAATTAATTCGATAAGTTGATGATGAGCTTTTTCAGCTGCTTTTTCAACTTTATTGACTGTTGTTTTTTTCCATTGTTCAATTTGATCAAAAAGATCCAATGACAAAGAATTTGTTTTTTCTAGCTTTTGTACTTGATCAAGAAGTTCATCGTGAAAACTTACTATTTCATTATCAAATTTCATCGATAGTTGTTGTTCATGTTCTTTGAAATCCTTTGAACAAAAATATTTTTTACATCCAATACAAAAGCATCTTGCTGAAGGTTTATTGCAGATTGAACATAAACTTGACTCATTTACTGCTTCCATTTGTCGTAGAAGAAAATGACTCGAATTAGTATGTAATTTATTATAAAAATATCTCAATCTAAAATGAATTCATATGGAAACATAATTATATTTGAGCTTAGTTTACGGATTTCTCTATAAAGGATAACAATGTTTTCAAAAACTAAAAGCTACAAACAGATAAACGGTTGAAAATACATATATGATGGTCTTCCAAATAACAGTTGTGTTTCGTTCATTTTGATATTCAAACATTTTTGAAAATTTTCATCTATATTTTTATTAAGGATTACTAAACACGACAATGAGTTGTTTGACAACATTTGGAAAGACATGAATAAATGAAGAGTTAACAAAAACTTCTCCAACATTGTTTTGTTCTTAGTCAACAAAAACGAAATTCTTCGGGAGTTATTTGCTTTAAATGTGAATATGAACAGACTCAAACTTTGTTTTGGTTAAAAAGAATAGAAAATTCCAAAACTATTTGATTTTCAATAGTGCATTTCTACATAGATGCATTCCTAAAAAAAAGTTAATTACATATTCTGAAAGCGCTTAGAATTTTTAATCATTATGTATATTAATGTTGTACTTTTCATGTATATGCGAGAGAATCATTCAAGTGCAAAAAAAAACAGCTTTCTCGCCAAATTTTCACAGACTGGATTTTGTCATTGTCATCGAAATAAGATTTTCAAGGTTTTTCATTATTGTGAAAATACCTTCGTAAAAAGAAAAGCTATTACACTTCGTGATAGTGCTTGCGATTTTCTGTCATTCAGTGAGCCAATCTATTGTCTTATATTGATTTCTTACAGCATATAAATGAAAAAGACAAGATAAAAAAATAAATGTATACAATGATAGGAAATTTCAGTAGAGGATTTTCGCACTTGTCACTTGAAAGTATGTTCCTACTATCTAAATTCTTATTTTCAACAAATAATCGCAAGGTGATAGATAAACATATTGTATGATGATACAAAATTTCAAGCACTCTCAAAAACATGTGACTAGTTTTTTCTTCAAAGATAGTTCTACAATGAGAAAAATTTTAAAAGGTCTAATTTGATGACAATAACAAAAATCAAGTCTGTTGGACTCTGCTAATGAAGATGCTTTCATTGCACTCGATTGATTTAGAATATGTATTTATTATTTTTTTCAATGGACTGTTAATGATGACAACAGACTTTAAATAGAGACTGCAACAATATTTTTTCGGGCATCTTTACCAACGAGTTTTTTCTCCGTTTACTTTTTTCTCATATGAACATATTAAAGTATAATTTATAACAAGTAATTCAAATAGAAGTAACATAAATGCGACTCAATCGGTGTCTTTTTTGGGGGCAAATGTCGACTTTTATTAGAATAAACTTAAATTGATTTGTTTTCTTCTGCATGAAACAATAAATGGAAATGTATCACGAAAGTCAACACTAATCTAGACTGCATGGAAGGGTTTACATGAAAATACACAAGAAGTTCATGTAAATAATTCATTTCAGAAAACGTCTTGAATTTACGAGAATCTAGGTATGGGTTTGAGATGTGTGTATTTATCTGAAGAGGAGCATGAGCTGTGAGTAATTTGAATATTAAGACTCACACCGATCCTTAATCTGAAGAGTAGCTCTAGACCTACATTCATATCCTCAAAATGAAAATGCTGTCAGCGTATATGCGAGGATATATTATTTTGATGAGAGAGATTCTACTTGTGTGATCATGAAGATAATGATTTTTACTTTCAATATATCTTTTTCTTTTTCCCATTGAAACAGCAGATATATCAAAGAGACTATGCAAACACAAAGTCTTTAAGAAATATGGCACTAGCCGATAAGTTATACTCTCATATTTTTTTAAGAGAAAAAGTTTTCATATTCAATGATAAACTTATCTATTTTTTGGTAATGTTAGGACAAATTTCATCGATGAATTATGTTTTTGTAGGAAAATTTTTCATCGAAAACAGTTATGTCGATTTTAGACATATTTAAGTCAGCTGATTAAGATCGGACCATTCAGCCAGCATTTGATAAGGTCATAGAATCTCACGAAAATGAATTATATAAAGATTGTCAACTGGATTCGACTGATCAACTACTTTAAGACGAATATCGGAAAGAAGGAAGATTTTATCTTCAACTTTAAAATATGAATATGTACGATTTAGTATATCATTGTTCATCTCAATCGGGAACATCGTTTATGTGTTCGTTTTACTCAATTAAGATGAGTATTTGAGAATATTGATTGAAGATGTACAAGAGCTCAGCATTCACTATGTTTGTTCTTTTTTTTTGAGTTTAATGAGAACTGAGATCTTCGGAAACTCCTCTTCAAATTATTCGAAGTTTAGTTGGCATGATACCGAGAAACATCATCTCAGATTTAAAGGAATCTATGAGAAACAACTATAAATATTTAAATTTTAGTCGAAAGTTTTTCTGGATTAGCTAGGCTCAGTGTTTGATTCTAAATAGCATAGATTCTGTTCTCACACATATTCGATTTCATTGTGTACAAATGAATCGATGTTCTTTCATCTACAGAGAACTTATTCGCAAGTTTTCTTGAATTCATTTTAGCTATTATTATATTTTGTTTGAATTCTGTGTCAAGAATTTTTTTCTAATGTTTGCCATGCTCATTCAAGAAATAGTAAAGATTCGTAGGCTAGTTGCTAATTGATTTGAGTATTTGCTTCAGTTCATCACGAATATTAGCCAACAGATACGACTTCATTAAAGCAAGCATTCATCATCTTTACTTAACACATAATACTAATGAAAAGAGATCAGCAGTCACTGATTCGTTTCTTAACATTCAATAGTGTAAGGAAGGGAACTTGAACTTAATATAAAGTGCTATAGTGACTTGTTAGCATTTCATATTAAGAAAGCAATTGATGACTGCTGATATTCTTTTAACAATCGTCAGAAATAAGTAGCAAATCTTAACTTAATTTAAAATTAAAGTAAATTGTTCATCTCTAGAAAAGATGTGGGTTTACTTCAACAAATTCATTCATTTCTACACACTAATTTCTTACTCGTCATTCGGTGAGTGATTTGATTTGATGCTTCATACGAAAGACATGTGTGAGAAGTCACAAGCTGTACAAAAAGAACAGAACACAATCAAATGATAGTCATGTTTTTTGTTTTGCGAAGGAAAAAGAAATAAAAGAGAAAAAAAACATGTTCTTTTCGAATAAGGTACGTGCAATTCGAATTTCTACACGATTGTTTTTTCTCCTTTTTATGCATGGTCGGATAGAGCACATGGAGTTACATAGAAAAAGTCTCTTCAAATTTCATAACGAAATATCTGTTTTTTTTTGTTCTAGATGATTGTAGAAACTTTTTTCCTTTTTGAGACGTATTATTGAATAGAAAAAGTAATCGATTGGGTCTGTTAAAATCTTATGCAATTATTAAATCCTAGTGAATGATAAAAAATGTTGTTAACTGGATTCATAAAGGAATCAACTTTTCAGCGTAAAAGATTTTCTAACTTTTCAAATGTGATTCTAAATATTTTCCCTATCTAAAAAAATGTTAAGTAGCCTTTTTATTTTGCTTTGGATTCCTGGCTGAGAAAAATAATTTATTCAATATCAGTGACAAAAGAATATCAGCTGCTTCCTTGTCTACAAAATATTATCATAAAAAATTGAAAAATAAGAAAAAAGAAATATGATATTCTGTGTCAACATGAAGAACTGTGTCAAAAACATAGATGCCATTGCAAAATATTTTTCATCGAGATTTCGCCTGGGGAGGACTATAGACGAAATGAATCGAAAAGGACAAGGACAGAGTAGAGATCGAATTTTGATGAAAGATAGTTTGTAACGGCATCTATGGTTTCTTTGACTCAGTTTCTTCTGTTGTCATAGAATATCATATTTCTTTTTCTTATTTTTCAACTTGCGATGGTCAAAATCCTTAAACACACGAGTGGCAAAAATTCTTACAACCAAAATTCAAGAATTTTTCTATTGTATTCAATTACGCTAGCATGGTTATCTATTTCATTATATACCGTTGTCACTGTATTGAAATCAAAATTCTGCTTGGAATTTTGTTTCTCCAACAGAATCGTCTCAGCATTCTAATTTCATAGGTGTCTTGAGATTTATGATATTGATAATACATGAGATTATATATATGTAGTTTCTTGGAATTTAGCATTTTTTAATATTAACATGATGATGAAGATTATTATTATTATTATTATTAAATTTGACACAACTGTTTGTTTTTTTTTTTTTTTGAGAGACGATATCTCGAGATTAATAATAATAATAATCGTCATTATCTTAATCATAATCACAATCAAAGTATATTCTCTTACAAGAAAAACATATCAAGATAAGAATTTACATTAGCATCTTGTTTCAAGAAAAAAAGAAACCATCCTGATGGTCGAATTTGTGATGTGTTTTTGTACTATTTGTTTCCATCAAGAGTTACATGGTTGACAATCGTCGTTTGAGAGACCGAAAACTCCCCCCTATATATAATTACATAAAGCACTAATTCACATGCATATTTCTTAATACATGGTACGTTTATGTTTGTCATGAAGAACAATATGATGATTTCAATAATGTTGATATTTCACATTTAGAAGAAATCATGAATTCGAATAATGTCTATATTTCTGATGAGAAACAGCATAATGATTCAAATCATGTTGATGTTCTACACGCAGAAGAACAACGAAATCGGCTTGAAAATTAGCTGTTCAAAATTAAATGAAATCCAATATTCAATTTGGTATGCGTATAGGATTAGGTACAATTCTGCGGAAACCACCTGGAGAAAGAAAACTCTAAAGCAGAATTTTGATTTAGATAAAGGCATAAGTGTATATATTGAAGTACTGTTCTGCTATGAAATCAGAATTCTATCAAAATTTTGCTGCAATGAACAGAATTCTTAAGAGAATTAGTACTGTTTTACCATAGTATTATATGAATTATGTTAATATGAAGACAATCTGTATGTGTATTATGATAAATGTATATATAATACAGAATTCTTAAATTCTGCTTGTGAGAATTTTGCCACCCCTCCACAACTATGGTGAGAACGTTAAAAAAATGTCAATTTTCAAAATCATCAATTTCGATCGATGTTGAACTTTTGTACTCGACTATTTCCATTATCAATCACATAGAGATTGCCGTCTCGATCAAATAACAAACCAACGGGACAATTAAGTTGATTCGATTGATCACCTTGACCGTTTCTACCAACGATGACACTTCCTTGTGTGACTCCGTGCGGCCAACACAGTATTCGATGATTGCCACTATCCGCCACATAAACAGTACCTGATTGATCCACGATGATTCCAAGAGGACTCGATAATTGTCTAAGACTATTTCCTTGACCTTGACCACCAGCCACAAAAATGCCTTGTTTTTCACCTTTCATCCACCTCATGACACGATGGTTAAACTGATCTGATACGTAAACTGAATGGTCTCGATCGACGAATACGTTTCTTGGACAAGACAATTGATCAAGACGATTTCCTTGTCCATTTCCACCTGCAACCAATGTTCCTTGACTTTCTCCCATTCGATATCGTCTGACCTCATGTTTATTGAAATCAACAATATAAAGAAATTTTTCATCGTCCATTGTCAAACCCCAACATCCAACATTTGAGATGATCATTTCTCCAGTTGTACCATTTTGACGAGGCCACCGAACTACTCGATCATTAACATAATCACAAATGATGAGACTATCTCTTTCTTTATCAATAATCACATCCGTCGGACAGTAAAACTGATCAAGACGGTTTCCTCCTCCATTGCCACCAGCAACAACTCGACCAGTCTTCGCACCACATTTCCATTCCACAATACGCTGATTCCAGTATTCAGCAATGTAGATAGTTTGATCATCATCAATACACAAACCATTTGGATGGTAGAGTTGATTCATTCCACTACCTTGCCCATTTCCTCCAGCCACAGTGATACCATTCTGTATCCACTTTGCATTTGCATTCAGATTTGCACTGCATAGTAATGGTGCTGAAACAAAATATAATTTCGTGCATTCATATCGAAACGATGTTCGTTAATGAAAAGCAACAGTCGAAGCAGAGAACTTTGACCAAGAGAAAGAGAAAGAGAAAGAATAGCTTTACTCAATGATCATATTGAACAATCGAGCAATTTTAGTTTCGTTGTTTTGATGTTTTAAATGCAGAAATGTCTGCGAGAGTTTATTGCATGACTGACATTCGAATCTTTCGATTAAAGATTGAATTTTCACCTCACCATCACCAAAAAACTTTTTATCTGTTGAAATAGTTTTAATAACAAATTGTAATAATTGATCATTAGTACTCAGGAAGAAAACTTGATAGTAGCTATTATTTCGAATATACAGCTGTCAAAGACAGTTGTAGACGATAGAAATCGATTAGATCAAACATTACGCTTGATAGATTTTTCAGAGAAAGGAAATCAACAGAATATCGTCAACAGTCTCTTGAAAACGAAATTTTAGTCGAGAAATACTGGAATCATTTAATTGAAGAAATAAGAAAATTTTTTGGAAGAGCCAACGATCAACATTATTAGAAACGTTTCATAAATTTTCATGCAGTCTGATTATCGTAAAATCAATCAGATCAACATGTCGAATGTGAGAAAATAACTGTGAAGAACTATGTCAAGTGTTACTAATCACTCCGCATCTCACAAATGCGACAAAAGTTTTGAAATAATTGACATGCATATTCATTTTCAAAATAGTCACTATCAATGGCTCATTCAAGCAGAGAAAAGTTCATGACAAAGTCTTAACATAGTTGATCTTTTTGGTTTTCACCGAACATCAATTGATGAGGAAAAGAATCGAGCCTCGACTTTTTCACTGTTGTCAATTAGGGAAAGTTTCTTCATTATTTTCCTTGTTATCCTTTAGTTCAACTTATTGCGACTTTGAAAGAAAAAAAGTATGACCTTTTTATTCGACCGTCGTAAGTGTTGACTCAACAAGATTTAACAAATTTCGATCATTTCATTGTTCACAATGAAAACATCGTTGTATTTCGATGAGTATTGACTCTCGATCTATGTCATTGTTAAGAATAAGTTAAAAGAAATCGAAGATCATCTTCTTGTTTTCCTTGGATCCTCTCTTTACACGATATTACTATGCAGGACACGAATGTAGTTCAAGTCATAAAAGCTGACAAGAATCATCTTTCTACCTATTCTAAATACATGACGAAACAATCATCTGCATATGTGAACGATGCTCTAATTAGAAATTCAAAGAGACATCAGAATACTCGGTAAGTCGAAAAGACTGTTGAAATATAGCTTTCTGTCACTTGCCCTTCATTCGAAACTTAACGCATTGTGTACATTCTCACTCTAAGAATCACGTATTTTGACAATTCATCGTCAAAAGCACAAATTTTGTTTAGATCAGACATGATATTTTTCAATTAACGAAGAGAAATTATCATCAAGTTTAAAAATATTCGCTGACTACAGAAAAATTCATCAACCGTTTAATCAAATAACTGCATTTAAGGATAAAAACAAAAGAGAAAAGTAAGATGAGACGCGAAGAACGTTTTAATGATTCACTACTCTGAAAATGTATCAATGGATTCAACAAATAATCAGATGAAGAGAAATCAAATGACCTAACAACAATTATGGGCGGGTCACCAGAGGGCAATTGGGCGAAAATTGCTACACCAAAAAAAGTGTTAATAGTATACACACGGTTAAAAATAGGTTTTTCTTTTATAATAATAAGATATTACAATCTATTATCACACTTGAATATAAAACGCTGGTCTGCTTATGAGAATAATGTGTGATGTGTATTGAAGTAAAAAGTAGGTGAGATGGAAATACAATCGTTTAGAAAAGATATTACTTATGTAAAGCATTTTAAACAGGCAATTGAACTTATCTCTGACAGAAACATAATGGAAAATAAAGTATCAAACTTCAATGATAGATTCATCGATCGTTGTTTTCATTTTGTTAGATTTCATATTAGAGAAATACCAATGAACGAGTTATTTTGATATTTTGAACATTCATATTTCTTTTCTTCTCGTTCACATTTGAAAAACAAATTCATCGTAGTCTTAATTTCCATTCAATAGTCTTTTCTAATATCATCTCGAAATGTTCATAATGTGAATATTCTGAGCGAAGATAATCTCATTATGATTCAATTGGATTCTAGTAGATAAACGAATGATGTCAAAGATTTATCTTAGAGATATTCACGATTTTCTAGTAGCTGCAAGGAATTGTATTTCAAAGCTGAATCGGTTTTTGAAATTATTTTGTTTATCGCATGAAACTCATTAGAAACCGGATACCGCGTGATTCTATTTTTTTCGTGCTTCAAAAGAGAAAGTTGAACATTGACAGAATTGAGTTGTTCTTCGATGCAGATGAATAAGAGTTCTCAAAATTTGTCATTGGCTTATAAACTAACAACGCATAGTTTATTTCGCAGCTGAGTAGAACTCATCGGTAAACTAAATTTTCAAAATCTTCTATGATAAATTTTTTTTCTGATATTATGTTTATTCTTATTTTGTTAAAAATCAAGTTCTTTCTTATTGGGCACAGCGATATAATATCGTTTTTATATTTGGTATTGTGAAATATTCGTCGAATATTTCAATGTTGTAAATCAGTGTTCTTCTATCTTGAGGAACAACAAGATTCAATTAAAATCTATCATAATTTTTCGATATTGACAATTTTTTCATTATTTCTTACTTATTTCTCATTTAACAATGAAGACTAGAAAAAAAAACGTTTTAGAATAAAATTACTTAGCGTGAAAAATTCTACCATCGAATGTGATAATAATAGTTGAACTTTTTAGAAAATTGACATTTTTTCCAAGTGTTCAATGAGTTTATAGGATCGCTTTATTCAGATTCCTAATGATAGTCAATATGAATTGTAAACAGTCTCTAAATTTGTTCAGAGAATAGACTATTGTAGCTGTCGTCGATAAGAGTCACTTTTCTTAATCCAATATGTTAGTAAACTTGTTCTTCTATTTAATTCTAATTCAGAATAAGATTCTTAGTTCGCTCGATGAGCAAAATCGAGTAAATTATCTAACAAGCTTTGTCAAATATCAAAGAAAATATACCGATGTTGATGTAACGAGATTCACAGTGTGTTTCTATTTAATGCTCCTCTAGAAATACACCGTACAATACTTGATCTTTTTGTTTTTGAAGATTCTCGAATGTTCAATGTGAGCTATTCTATTTGTTTTACTATATTTGCCTTCGATGAAATACTATTGAAACATATAAATGCATCGTTTCTATATATTTGAAAAAGAAACCATCATCTGGAATCCTTTATATCTAAAAAGAGTTTACTTTCTTTATCGCTTCTAACTTCAAAGTCAACTTCAATCCGGTCTTCCATCGATATCTTAAAGGAAAGGTTTATTTGTTTTTCAATTTCATCCTATGAAGATTCAAGTGGGACACAAATCAGTGGAACATTGTCTTTTCTTTCCAATTGAAACTAACTTAAATTTAAGAAAGAGTGAGTCTGTTGTTGAATTGTTTTATTATTCAATGTGTAAACATTCTTTCTATTAAATAAAAAGTCGTTGTACCTCGAATATTTGATTCTTAAAGAAATGTTGAATTCATCTTTTATTCATTCGTCACTCGATAATTTATTATGATATTGAACTTCA